TAGATAATTTTTCCTATTTGTGGTCTTCTCTTTTCCCCTTAAATCAGTCCCTTTAACATTTCTTGTAGCACTGGTTTCTTGGTGACTAACTCCTTTAATTTTTGCTTATCTGGGAAAATTTTGATCTCTCCTTCCATTTTGAATGATAACCTTGCTGGGTAGAGTATTCTTGGCTGTAAGTGTTTTCCTTTTAGCACTTTAAATATATCGTGTGATGGCTTGTTCTGAATACTAAGACTGAGTAAGTCTTAAAAACTGAGCTCACAGAGAGATGTTTTAGGGCAAATAAAACCAACCTCAGTTTTTATGAGTTATGTGTTCCAAGAGCCCATTTGCTTCAACTGTTTAAAACTCTGATTTCATATTCCCAAGGAGAGGAAAAAAGAAGCAAAAAATTATTATGATTAGGCTCTTAGGTTAGGTTACAAAATGCCTATTAATGCAGCTGGACATACTTAGCACTTAAAATATTACCAAAATCTACCCAATGTTTATAAGTTCAATAATGTTGCTTCACTCTACCATTGGGTTGTGGTTCTACACAACCATCTATATGATCCTCTTCTTTCTTTCCTCCTGGATGTAATTTCTTTTTTTCTTTTTTTAAAATTCCTTCGGCAATCCTGCTTTTCTTATAACCTATCACTTTTTATGTTGTATTACTGCTATGGGTATATCTTACCTCTTCTCTTATCGTAAGAGAAGCTTACAATAAGCTCCTTGAAAGCAGGGACCATATATAATTCACTTTGGATGCCCACTCTCTCTCTCAGTGACTGGGCACATAGTTGGTGGCTAAATAAATGCTTGTTGAATGAACAGTGGTTGTACAATAAATGCCATCTTAATGAATCAATCCTCATCAAGAATATCTTTACTTGTTCTAACTACGACTAGAAACTCCTCTCTATTGCTCACCCAAGCTCAATGTCTGCTAAAAAGAACATCCTGGGCCGGCCCTGTGGCTTAGCAGTTAAGTGCGCGCGCTCCGCTACTGGCGGCCCAGGTTTGGATCCCGGGCACGCACCGATGCACCACTTCTCCAGCCATGCTGAGGCCGCGTCCCGCATACAGCAACTAGAAGGATGTGCAACTTATGACATACAACTATCTACTGGGGCCTTGGGGGGAAAAAAAAAAGGAGGAGGACTGGCAACAGATGTTAGCTCAGAGCTGGTCTTCCTCAGCAAAAAAAGAAGAGAGGATTAGCATGAATGTTAGCTCAGGGCTGATCTTCCTCACAAAAAAATAAATAAATAAATAAATAAATAAAACTGTTAAAAAAAACAAAAAAAGAACATCCTGCTAGGACAATCATTTTTCTCATGTCCTAACTTAACTCCCTCAGGAAATGGGCAGTAACTCAGAGACGCATGAGCCACCAAACTATTGGTGTATGTGGATATGAGTGTGCATGCACATGTGTGTATGCAGAGAGGATGAAAAATCTATAATATTTTCCCTGAAAACACTCCTAGCCATCACTATTGAAAAGTATTGTGATGTTTGGACTGTTAATATGATTCAGGATGGTATTTCTTACATTCATATATTATTCACTTGGCTTTTCGATCCCTTGTTATATGAACATAACCTCAAAGATAGCTGTTACAGTAAAAGTTTGCTATACATTTCATTTTAAAGTATATTTCCTACATAGGAGAAGTATGGCTATGTTATACTTAAAATTGATTTGAGAGTAACAGGGGATTAGGAAGGAAGTATAAATATTGACCCATCTACTTACACTCCATGGAAGTGAATCAGTGTATAACAGGTGAGCAAACATCTTAGCAACATTTCTCAATTTGTTCGTTTCCAAGCGATGGATGGTATCATATTGTTCTTTGAATATACTTTCAAAGGATTCCATGTATTCTTTTTTAAGCATGCAAAATCGCTAAAAATAAAAAAAAAACTGAGTGTCAACACTATTAAAATTGAATACGAATATCATTATGAGCATATTAAATCCTCCTAAATTTACTGAATCAAAAGTTATTAAATATTTTGTATATCATATCACTCAATCTTTTTGTATGGTATGATGGGATACTCAAAAAAGAAGTTAATATGTATCATCCCTATCTACCTGGGATTTATATGCTAAAACAAAATTATACAGGCAGCTGATCACAGACATATACATTTACATACTATACAAATCTATTTCTCTATGGGTAGAATTTGGATTTAAAAAATTATTTTTGTTCATGCTCCATCAGTGCTGCCTGAACATGTTCTTGACTTCAGAAACTGCTTTGAGATTTTGAAAAGACAGCATTTAATTGTCCTCTTTGGGAAATTGTTACAAAACACGTAGAAATTCAAAATGTTCTGGAAGAGTGATATGTAATGTTAAGGGACTACAAAAATAAAGTGAGAAAGGAGGAAGCTGCAGAGAGTGGGAAAGCTGAGGCAGGGAAGAACAACTTGCTTTTAGCAAAGATATGTTATTCTATTAGACCAGACCACAAAGCAGACACATTAATTCCCAATATTCATGTAAGAATTCCCTTAGTGATTCCATTAAATTCCAACAAAAAAAATGAGGCTGGAACTCACCCCAGCTAATAAGCCAAAAAATTTCTCATATGTCCTTTGTTGGGCACAGCAGTCAAGTATCATGTTGCAGAGTTCTTTCTATGTGGAAAAAAACTGCATTAATGATTCAAAACACGATGAATCCATGCTGCATGAAAATTTATCAATACGGCAGAGACAAGCTGAATCTTTAAATAAGGTTTTAAAAACACCAAATTTCCAAAACTTTGTGAACTTCAGTTATTAAGACAAAATAAAAAAATTCAATCTATGTTAAGTCTAGTTTTTTAAAGCCTTTGGTCTGGCTGACAATTTCCATAGTCATTTATGCTAATTAGATGGATTATAAAATTCTAAATTCATGTAAGCATGAACCACTTCAAGAATACCTAGTATAGGAAATATACATCAAGAGAGACTGAATGTACTATATTCTAAAAAGATTCTATGCAGAATTCTTCTAAATACAGATCACCAATACAACATCTAACAATTCAGTTATACATCTTCCAAAGTATTAAAGTCAATTATTAAGGAATATATTGAGTTAGTATGGAAAAGGCAGACCATGATAAGTCTTTACAGAAGCATAAATAAATGTGCACAGCTTCAACGTTAACCTAAATGACCCTCTGGTTGTTAAAAATAAATACATTCAAAAGAACAAAGAAAAAATACCTCTGTGGCTAAATTTTCTAGCCTCAAAATAAATGTTATGCGTATACATCTGTCTATAGACGGATCTATACGAGTAGATGGAATCATTCTATAACTGCTGGAATAATATATTGTCTAATCAGCTATTTACGTGCCTTGAAAACTCCTCTGTGAAAACTCTGTTCAACTAATAAATGAATGAATGAACCCAGGGTCAGGAAATACCATCATCACAAATGTTTATAATTAACAAATATTATTTATTAATTCTTGAAATACTTCTAATGAAATATGTATTGATTATAGCAATTTCACAGATGAAGAAACTTAGGGAACAGACAAATCAATGGAGACAAAATGAAAAAAGGTAGTAACTCATTCTCTACCCACTGCTCAGAATTGACTAAGTATCTTTCTCTACTAAACATTTCTTATTGGCAAGTTTAGAATTATTTTTTCCAAATATAGTAACCTCAATATAGTTGCTTTCTACAAATAGAAAGCAAGCCTATAAAAGTATAGTGTATACTCTTTCAGTTCATTTTTATTTTTATTTAATTTTCCCTTTATATTTTCAATTAGCGATTTTGACATTTTGTCTTATTTAATAACATGAGAGGCAACTTAAGTAAATATTGTAAATATTCTTAAAAATTAGGTCAATGAGTTCTTCCTGCATATATCTATGTGCAAGAGAGAGGAAGGGGATCCTGGAGAAGCAAAAAACAGACACTCAAGAACTATGCTGTCCAGCATGATAGCCACTAGCCACATTTAAATTTATGGCTATTTAAATTTAAATTATTCAACATTATATAAAGTTAAAATTTTAGTTCCTGAGTCACACTAACCACATTTTAAGTACTCAAAAGCCACATGTGATTAGTTGCTACTGTACTGGACAGTGCAGAATATGAATATTTCCATCATTGCAGAAAGTTCTACTGGACAAAGCTGTACTAGAAGCTGATAATCTACTTATAAAACAATCTACTCAACGGCCTCACTTCACAATATAGGGTTATTTTTAGATGCCATTATATTGCTAGGTTATTTTTTTTAAGATTAGTCACAAGTTACCTCATTAAATAAAATGCTTATAGAAGTATAAGTCCCGAAAAGATGTACTTAATCAAAATTTAATATAGTACTAAAAACTTAAAATGAGGTTTTTCTGAGTTATGCCATATTATGTATGTTAATTTGATATATTAAAATGGATCTTCAACTTTTTATACCAACATTATATTTTATAATAGCATAATAGTTAATCAGGTTTTAAACAATATAACATGGTAATATGCTGACAGCACTGCTAATAAAGTTAGCACTACTTGCAAACAAATTACTTTCTTCCCTAGACTAAATGCAATTACAAGAGTTATTTCCTGTGGCTTATAATAATTAAATATTTTAATATTTTAATTAAATATTATAGCGATTTTAGGAGAGTGTTTTGAGTGCACGAAAATAGATGCACTAAGACACTCTTCCAAATATTATCAAAATATGTTGAGGTTAGTTCTAGAACAAATATCCTCTGGATTAATATTAATAAAATCTATAATGACTAAATTATATTCCTCAAATAATGTGACAAGATCATACGTTAATTTCAGTTTCAGTCATAATTTTAAAGGTTAATTCACTAATTTCCTTCCAATGATGACACATCAAGTGCACCCAGAGTACAAATAGGTACACTATTACTAATATACCAATAAACAAACTTTAAGAGGGAAAAAAGAATTTTTTTTAATTTGAAAAGAGTAATTTCTTCTCAAAATCCCATACCACAGCATTGCAAGAATGAATCTTTATTCTAGAACAAAGGTTGGCAAACTTTTTTTGTAAAAGGCCAAACAGAAAATATTTTAGGCTTTGGAGGCCATACAGTCTCTGTTGCTGTAGGGCGAAAACAGCCATACACAATATGTCAACCAATGAGCATGACTGTATTCCACCATCAGTGGTCATGGCTGTATTCCAATAAATATTTACAAAAATGGGCAGTGGGCCTGGGCCACAGTTGGCCAATCCCTGTGTGGAAATTAATAAACAGAAATCTCATTAAAATGGAGCTGGAAGGCCAAAAGGGGCAGCTCTCATGCCCTATGTCGACAGCAGATCCCAACAGGAAGAAGGATTTCCTCTTCTTGCCCACCAACAGCTCAGCCAATGAGAGACTGTCACAACTCAGCCAACGAAAAGCCACTGTACTTTGAACTCTCAGTTCCTCCAATGGACTCTTTGTTTACCACAGCCCTACCAACTTCCTCTTCCCCTCTATAAAAGAGTTTCCTTGCTGCTTGGGACTTGCATGTGGCTTGCCATGGTTGCAGATCCTGAATTGCAATTCTTTGCTGATCCTGAATAAATCCATTTTTGCTGGAGAAATAACTGGCTATTTGTTTAAGGTCAATACCTGTAACAGATCATATTTAAAGCCTTACAACAAAGGATGTAGACCTAATGGTAACTTAGCTCGGATAGTTAAGAAGATCATTTAGAAGAACCAGAAACCAAACAGCCTATTATCATTGATACATTCACTCTGGCATCTGTGCTGGGTACCACATATAAGCCAAGGTGTGAAAAACAAAACCCCGAAAGCCTTGCTCAGGTTCCAAGGATGTAAAATCTCGATGGGCAGGGAGCAATACATACAAGAATACAACTAGAAAAAAACGCCTAAAGGTGATCTATTCAATCCAGTCTTTATTATCCTTGGCATTAGGGTTCTATGATACTTTGAATAGTGAAGTATACTGAGTTAATAAGACTATGAGTCCTACAGGCTAAGAGGGTAATATGTACTCTATGGATCACTGAATCCCTGACACCTTGCAGAGTGCCCGACATATATTATACGTTGAATACATTTTGTTGAATGAATTAATGAATGAAAAAAAGATACAGATTCTCTATATCCAATTAAAGCACTGTAACAACCTGTACGGTGGTCTTTATAATTTCTACCACAAAAGAATGCTTTAGTGCATAAAGTAGATGGACCAGGTAATTCATTAAAGAACAAATTTCCTATTGTATTTAAGTCACAATTTGATGTACAGGCAACCACTCCGAAATATATAGAAAGTGTGGTGATTCAGAGACTTTCTGTCTTTCCCACATCCCATTCAAGAATGCAGCCGATTTAATTCACTGGAATGAGTACTATGTATGAAGTACTCCAGAACTCCTAACTTTAACTCCTAACTTTAAAATAACTTTATTTTAAAATTTTAGAAAATTTACATTAAAAAAATGAATATTTAGTACTGACTTATTGTTTCAATTCATGAAACCTATTAGCTGTCTTAAACATTTTTATAACCAATATATATATTTCCTAATAGAAGAAAAAAGTATTAACTTACTGTTTGGCTTTCGGGAAACTCCATTTTTAACAATTTGTGAGCACATTCTTCAAAATCTAAACTGTAGAGACAAAATGGTCACAATAGTTAGGTTAAAAACTTGCAGCATAAATTGTAGCACTCTTTTATATACAAGAATCTTAAAATAATTTCTTTACTATCATTTCATATTATTGTATTGTGTATATAAAAAAGACATAGCTCTTGACTCTACAAAGAAAGAAGTACTGATACATATTATGTATGACATGGATGAACCCTGAATTATGCTAAGTGAAAGAAGTCAGACACAAAAGACCACATATAGTATGATTCCATTCATAAAAAATGTCCATAATAGGCAAATCCATAGACACAGAAAGTAGACAAATTTTTATTTTACTGCTAAGTATTTCCACTTCTCTCTGATCCAAGTCAGGAGGAGGTAAAAGATGCTCCAAGAGCCCAGTATGACCTCTGGTGCTTAATCACCACTTATCTTGATTCATACCCAAACACAGGGCTTCTAGATTTTATAAAAACTAAGTATAAAATAGTAAATAACCAAAATCACTTACAAGAAAACAAATTTACTTTTATACAACCTTCATATAAGTTGCATTAAAAATACCTTCAATATGCTTCACCTAAGAGAATTACTGAACTCAGTGTGAACTTGACTCAGGAATAATGCTCATATATTTGCACTTTTTGTGGAGAGTACAAACCATCATTCTTTTGATAACAGCAGTATAAAATAATCGCCCACTGAAATATGATGATTATGAATTTAGTTTTATAGTTCATCTGTATTCCTCAGCTTCTGTTACTTATGGAGTTTCATAAGCACAACAGAGGAATAATCCAGTATGGTACAACATAATGGAATTAAAAAACGTAAAATGAAGAAAGAAATATATTATGAGCTTTTATAACAGGTAATATTACACAATATCTAGCATTAAGATTAAAATATTAAACTGTAGTTGATAAACTTCAATAATATAGCAGTACCAAAAAGTATTTAAAAAGATGTGACATTTTCCTTTCTAGCTTTTATTTTTTTTAAACAGAATTAGTACTTGAAAAAATCCTTCAATTTCTGAAAAACAAGTAATTGATGGAGAAATTTTACAACTTTCCTTTTATGTAATAAGTTAAGTATCAGGTGAGCTGTATGACAGTCTATTTTCCTTGTTCTTGTTTTAACTTAAAAATCTTTGGTGAGGGGCTGGCCCGGTAGCGTAGCGGTTGAGCGCGGGCACTCTGCTGTGGTGGCCAGGGTTCGGATCCCGGGTGCGCACCGACGCACCACTTGTCAAGCTATGCTGTGGTGGCATCCCATATAAAGTGGAGGAAGATGGGCACGCATGTTAGCCCAGGGCCGGTCTTTCTCAGCAAAAAGAGGAGAATTGGCAACAGATGTTAGCTCAGGGCTAATCTTCCTCACACACATACAAAAAAAAAAGTATTTGGTGATTTCCAACATCAAGATTATTCTGAAGTTGCATTAAATGTAAATATTAAATGAACTAAATTAGCTTGAGACTTTAGTTCTTATCTTAGGTTGCTAAACAAATGAATTCCAGGTTTAACACAAATTAATAGCGACTAAGGGAAAGGTAAAGAAAAAAGATTGTGAAGTGGGTTTTCAAGCTGTGTTTACAAATGGTTTTGTTGATGCCTCCAATCCAAAAAATTTTAAACTGGTGGGGACCTGACAGTCCCACCTCCCTCTAATGCTACAGCTTCAATAACACAAAATCAGACTGGAACATGACTTAAAAGCAAGACAAACAGAAATGTCTAATTTTCAATAGTGAAGACAATTATATAGTTTTATGTAAAAAGAGGATCATTTAAGGAGCAGAACAGTAAGGAGAAAAGAATACTGGTAAAATCAGTCAACAAGCCTAAAAGAAAAGAAATTAAAAAAAAATCTCCACAGAGTTCAATTGCCAGATCATAAGATTTCCCAAAGTGAACGGTTTGTATAAAGTGCTCTCACCACCATCTGACTTTATGATTATATTCCATTCTTGATTTTTAGCTTGGTATACTATAAACATAAGACTTGGAAAATACAAAAAATTGGAAAAAACAGACACTAAAAAAATCTGTAATCCAACCTCCTCTCAAGATAACCAGTGAATATTTTAATGTATTATTTCTAGAATCTGCCTGTTTATACAGTTAAGATAATACTACTGGCACAGTACTATATAGTTTTTTTCCACCTAACATTATATCCGACCACTTGCCCACATCTCCATTAACCTAATTTTCAATGGTGGCATAAACTGGACATTTGGATTATTTGTGTTGGACAATAAGATTGTCTTTTTTTTTTCGCACTTAACAATTCTGTATATAATTCTCTGTATATAATTCTCTGTCAATATGTATTTAAGAAACACAATAAAAAGAAGGGTCAAATGGAATGAGCACCTTACCAAAAGGCTTTCCAAAAAGAGTCTACCAATTTAAATCCCAACCAATAATGTTTACGTGTATCTTGCTAAAATCATCATTAGTACTGAGTACTATTGCTTTAAAAAACATAAAGTAAACCACTTCAGCTTTTTAATGACCAATAATAGTACTTATTTGTCTAGAGTGATATTTGTTTGACAACTAACATTTTTTTATGTCTTATAATCCCATTTCATGAATCTCCCAACCATGTCCTTTAAACACCTTTCTATCAAAGTGTTTGTGTTTCTTTCCCAAAATTGATATCAGCTTTTAAGTATAGTAACCTTTGTCATATATAAATTATTTTTACTAGGCATTTAGAGGCTGAGAACTCTTAACAAATACCAACACATAAGGCAATAGTTATTGCTACCAGGATTGGAACCACTATATAACAGTGGCTGTTACTTATCTCTTAATACTTTAATTTTTCAAGCCTTTTGTGTGATTCAGAGATTATCAAGGTTAGGTCAACTAACAAAAAAAAAGGTTTCTTTTAAATAATTCTTCAAAGAGCTCCACTATAATTCTTCAAAGTTAATGTTAATAGCAATATTAAAACAATGAATCTGTTGTTTACAACTGATTACTGTTGAATTTCTAAAAAACAACAAAGAAATGAAAGGCCAAACTCTAAGAACAGTTACCTATAACAAAAATTTTTCATCTTCCACCTTAAGTTTGTATGAAAAAATATTTAATAGTTTTTTCTTTCATGTGAAAAGCAAAAAAATAGATAAGAATAAGCCAAAAACATTTCTAACCAATGTTTTGCTGTTTAATATTTCTCTTTCTGAAGATGAATCTAAGCCAAAAAGTTTTCAGCCAGACTGAAAACAAGTTGACTCCTACTTATGAATCATTATTGCTATTACATCATACTAAATGGAAATATACAAAACCTAGTAACAAAACAAAACTGAGGAAACATTCCTCCTCCAGTATAAAATGCAAACACTGTGCCCACTAAATCAATAGGTTGATTCTCATACAAAACAGATGTACTAAGCATTTAACATTTTCATTTATTTCTCTTCAAAACCAAACTCACAGCCTTCAAAGGGAATACGTTTTGTTTTCCTGACATCATAGTACTTCCTACTTAACATTACTTCAAAGGAGCCTCAAAACCTTAAGATTAATTCCTATTTCCATTTATATTCATTTCCATCTGTAGAACGAATCAGTGTCCAAAAGTTATCATAACAGTGCTTCTCTGCTTAGAAGCAGAATTAGAAACCAAATTAGGAAAAAAAAAATATTAAATTTCCACTACACAATTACTGTGCTAGCTCTGTAATACAGAGTTGTTTTTAGGTTTGTTTTTTTTTGCTGAGGCAGACTCACTCTGAGCTAACATCTATTGCCAATCCTCCTGTTTTTTTGCTTGAGGGAGATTAGCCCTGAGCTAACATCTGTGCCAGTCTTCCTTCATTTTGTATGTGGGTTGCCACCACAACATGGCTGACGAATGGTATAGGTCTGCACCTGGGATCTGAACCTGCAACCCTGGGCCACTGAAGCAGAGCACATGGAACTTTAACCACTCGGCCATAGGGCAAGTCCCTGAGGTTTTTATTAGTAATATTTAACTATAAGAAATGACATAGCTAAAAACAAACAAAAAAACAAACCATTTCATTATGTAACACAACCAAACCTTCCAAATAAGTAAACCCAATTTGCTTTTGAAGCAAAGAGCCAACAGTAGGGATCTATGAGTTTGGGGTTGGTATGGGGTAGATAGGTTGGTAGCTTGAGAGTCCTTGAAATGGTATCTACTTTTTTGCCATCAGATTCTAAAAATCCCATCCCCTATCAAAAATAAGGATCAACGGAGCTACAGTATCTTACCTTGACTGAATAGCAAGATAGATTGTACGACGAAATGAGACTAGATTAATTTCTGTTTTGTCATGAATAGTCACTTTTTGTCCTGAAAGAAATTAAACATAACAAAATTATGAAACTACAAAAATAAATGAAAAGAACTGAAAATGTATCTCATAATAATTTTTTCATAAATGCATTTAGAATCTACGAGTTTAATAATAATACTCTTTTCTATAGTGTAACTTAGTATTTGAAGAATTCAAAGTAACTATGTCAGGTCTTTGCCATATCTTAGAGTATTTTGTAAGTTTTGCTAGCTCAAAGAAGTCCAGAACAAAATCAGAAAAACTATTTTTGTTTCTTTGTCATCTGCTCATTTAGACACTATAAAAGGCTGCACTCATGCTGTTGTTTGGTAAAATATTATTTCTAGAGTTATGAAAAGTATCTTGATAATTTAGAAGAACTATAACTTATGGGCAGAAATTCAGTTTTAGAGAACAATGGGTCCTCATGAGAGGCTGGATGGGTCCAATATAAATATGTGTATTTATCAAAATCTTCTATCTAATACATGAAAACTTTCCTTTATAAGTATTTAATAGTTTTATTTGAGCAGTATTTTCACATGAAACAAAGAAATTCTAAAGCTAAATGTAGTACATGAATAGTTAGGAGATGTATTAAATAAGGAAGACATTGGAAAAAATTAAACTTATTTTTATAAAATATGTTATAGAAGAGCAACTATACTCTAAGACAGAACTAAAATACAACATGCCCTGAAAGGAAAAAGTATGCCATTAATATTTTCAAATACATAATACAAGTAAATAATGACCAGTTTTAACTCAGACTTAACCAAAGTTCTGAGCTTATTTTTCTGTGAAATAATGTAATCAAAGCTAAAGAGGAAGAACATCATGCCTGCTTCTGTACAAATATAGCTTTTGGCCACTCTGCTCTATTTTGCCAAAATGAATAGCAAATATCTAGTCACTCTCATCTGTCGCATCATGCCAGGGTTGCATAAATCACATGCACTCAACAGGAATGCACCTTTTTCATAGTTTATAATCAAAGGCATAAAATGTCAAATTAAAATTATGCTGATGTTAAAAAATGAATTTCCTTGTTTAATACTTTTACAGCAGGGTTTTTCAACCTTGGCAATCCTGACATTTTGGGCTGAATAATACTTAAATAATACTGGATAATGCTGTGGGGGGCAGTCTTGTGACTTACAGGACGTTTAACAGCATCCCTAGGCTTCACCCGCTAGATGACAGCAGCAACCCTCCCAACCCCCCCAGATTGAGAACCATTGTTTTAGAGGGAATTAACTTAATTTCAGAATATTTTACAGTATTATTTAAATAAGCTATACTTTTACCTTCTTCATCTTCTTCCCCTTCTTCCTCGTCTTCTTCCTCCTCCTCCTCACTACTTCCAGCATCTTGGTCTGTGTTTGAGTCACTATCCCCTTCATCAAGAATTTCTAAAAGAACAAAGGAAATTTAGGAAAATATTAATGAGCAAGTGATAGACACGCATCTCATTCTGAGAAGGTAATTCTCAGTTCACTGAAATCCAGTGGTGTAACAGTTTATCAGCCAACAAAGATGATCACACAGACCTCAGGTTATTACCTAAGTGGTCACACGGCATTAAAACTAATTTGATGAGAGAGAGTCATATGGAATTCTTCTGCCAGATAGAAAGTGGCCATGAAACAAGAAAGGGATAAGAAAAACAAAGAAAAAGTAAATGAAGGTATTCCAAAAAAGCAAGAGCAGTGGAAAAATAAATTAGGAATGGAAACTAGCATATTGAAGTCAAAATATTACTAGTTCATCATCAGAAAAAGACTGTCTATCATAAAAAGCTAAGGGTAGATATAGAAAAGAAGAATTTAGGCTAAGAACGTTCTATGAAAGACTAAAAAGGGAGAAGAAACAGTTGCATAATTTAGTATTCCACTTTAAATAAATAAGTAATGAGATTTTTATTAAAATGTATACCTATTAAATAGAACACTATAATCGATCTAAAGACTTTCCATATGTAAAACAGAAACAGAAGTTTAAAAGCCTCTAAGGAAATTGGTAAGATGAGCACTTTATTGCATAACTCACATTCAGAACTGGATGAAAATAGTGATGTAAATAAGAGACCACATAAAGCCAGTCATCATGTTAATAGTAACCAAATGATAAAAACTAAAATTATATTTTGCCCAATGGTGGGTGCTCTATTAGCCTGACAAAAGATTTTACAAACACAGTTAACACTTCACTTTTGCATTTCTATTATAATCAGAGAACTTTTAATTCAAAGTTTTAAGGCCAAGTCCTTTCTAGGAAAATTCTAATTTCTTTATATTTAACCAAGCAGTATACATCAGGAGTCATATATAATATTTAATATTAGCAGAGAACTTCATACTATGAGGAATAAATCATTTTACAAAAATGCAGAGTTGTCATTCAGCCCTTAGCTGACACACAAATCTCCTCAAGAATATTCCTAACAAATGTGACTTCAAGAAATAATCTGAAGTGTCTAGTTTATTATTATATAACATGGCTTAGACAGACCTTTAAAAGAGGGAACTATTTAGTATTCAAGAGTAGGAAGACAGGCCCTCCTGCTGTTTTCCCAAATGCTGTAAGACCTCAGGCCCGGGTACACCTGGGCCTCTCTAAGGTGCTAATTACTAAGGCTGTGCCCACTTCCTGCTGCGGCCATTTTTTTATGCCAGCTCTAGAAGAAAATTTTATGAAAGAATGAAGGTCAAATGAATTGTCTAGTCGTTTACATCATCCTCTCCTCATCTCTCCACTTTAGAATCTATTTACTGAAATCCCCTAGGCAATGACAATTGGATTTCATTAACTGAATGAAGCAGTGGTTTCAAAGTACATCTATGAGTCCCCGGCGGGATCAGTGGGACCTGTCAGGCGGTCCCTGAGGTCAAACTATTTTCATCATAACACCAAGGCATTACCTGCCTTTTCACTGTGCTGACATCTGCATTGATGGTCCAAAAGCAATGAGGGTTAAAACTGCTGTAACCTGAGCCAAATCAAGGCACCTAGCAGTCACTGTGCTCTTCACTGCCACATTCTTGTGGTAGGAAAAAAAGACAGTTTCACTTAAGAACGCCCTTGAAGAAGTAGAAAATTATTAATTTGATTAAATTTCAGCCTTTGACTATAGGCATTTATAATAATCTGAGTAACAAAATACGAAGTTCATATACAGTAATTCCGTTAAAGACAGATGCACGATGGTGATGGTTATCTCAAGGAAAAGCATTTGTGCAATTGTTTGAGGTACAAGATGAATTAGCTATTTTTTTCATTTTTACTGGAAAGAATGGCTGATATACTATAGTTGTTAGATATCTGACAGATATATTTTCTCAAATATAAACAAAGTGAGACTGTCGTTTCAAGGAAAATAACAGTATTTGCCACCATGATACAATTACGAGTTTTCAAGAGAAAATTAGAATTTTGGAAAACTTGTATCCATCCCTATCAGCTTGATAGCTTCCCAACACTTGCACTTTTCTGATAAGATAGGTGGTAATATTAATAAACATAATTTCTTCATATTGTATTAATGTGTTAATTTAATTTTGATGTTAATGTGGAAGACGTGAATAACACTTAGAAGACGTGCGTAACTCAGTGAATCAGTATCTTCCAAATGACCAATGTAACGTGTTACAAAGTCGTGCATGGGTAAAAGATCCATTCAAAGTGACAGGCCAATAAATTTTAACGTAACAGAGTATGAAAATTCACGGATATTTTTTCAAGTTTCACATTGCAACAAACCTTTTAAGAAACTACTAGCTATTAAATATTGACACAGTATTAAGGAGGAATACACACAATTATCTGAAAAGGCTATTAAAACACTCCTCCCTTTTCCAACTACATATCTGTGTGAAGCTAAATTTTCTTCATACTCTTCAACCAAACAACCTATTGCAATAGACTGAAATCAGAAACAATATGAGAATCCAACTGTTTCCTATTAAGCCAGACATTAAACTGTACAAAATATATAAAACATGCCATTCTTCTTAAATTTCTGTGTTTTGTAGTTACAATTATAAAAATATGTAACTTATGTTAACATGTACTAGGTTTATTATTATTTTGAAATAATTTACTATTTTTTATATTCTCAGTTTTAATTTCTAATAAAGTAAATATCAATAGATATAACCCACATAAACAAAAACTCTTTGGAGTCCTCAATAATTTTCAGGAGTATAAAGGGATCCCGAGACCAAAGAGTTTAAGAAATCCTGTACAAAAAGGAAAGTGCTACTTTCCCGGCATTGGCCAACTGCCGAGACCCTAAAGAAACGAATGTGGAATTCCCGAGTTAAAAAAAAAAAAAAATCGTACCAGGTATAATAAGAATTCCAAAAATCATTTAGCATCTTTTAGGGAGACTGTAGAAAAAAAAGTTCCTAAGAAAAGAAAATGGGTCTAATGAGTTCTCCATGTTCGGAAACTAAATTATAAGAGAAAAAGGAATCTGGCTGTTGCAGTGAAATGCCTCTAGGAAATCAGCATCTAAGGGGAGAAAACTACTTATTGTACCAGACTTTTAGGGTAATGTGTAGAAATGGAAAGTTGCTTACACTTTTATTTTCCACTTCAACATCCCACTTCTAAGCATGACTACAGCATAGCATGCAGACGATGACAGAGTTCTAGGTCTCTGCTCTCTCTTCCTAAGAAGCTTTCTGAGCTCAAGTACTTCTCAGGTAAAATCATAACTCAAAGGAAATAAACCCATAAAATTATTATATTATTATACAATACAATATAATTATAATAGAATTATATAAGTAGCCCTTAATATTAGCTTTGGAAGAAAAATAATGATACAAACGTGAAAAAAAAGTAGTATCAGTGTCTAAATACTTGCTCTGCGGCAACAGAAAGCAGTGTATTTTCTTTATCCTACACAAACAGCTAACATTTAATCTTACATCAAATGAGTAACTTGTTCCAGGTCACTTAGCTAATAATGGGAAAGACAAAATACAAACCAATATCTGTTCAATGTTAGTACTTACAATATATTAATGATGGACAAATGATAATAATCAATTTATCCATTTATTAAGCACCGATGCCGTATCTAGCACTGTGATAGATTTTATCAGAAGGCTATCAACCTGCTCTCAAGAAATAATAAAGTATAGCACTTAACAATAAAGTATAGCAGTTAACTGAATATTAAATTGGGTGGCAATTTAAGCAGTAATTCTTAAGTGGTTGTGAAGTTACATAAAGGCCACTAGTAACATATGAATATTTCTTAAGTGGCATGAGACTTAAGGGCTGAGTAATTTAAATAGAGGGTAAGATGATAGAGACGAGGTAAATAATTTAGAATGAAGTAACACCACAGACAAGCACCAGATAGAAAAATAACGCAAACAGTGAAGAGAATGGCTTCATAAGAGCAGAGACTTTATTAGGTGGGCGTCAGTGATCTATTTCTTTCTACCAGTATTATATAACTACATAAATTGCTTCTTCTTATCCAAAATAAATTATTCTATAAAATTCTACATACCCTTCTTAATAGCTTTGTACTTCTCTTCATTCTCCATAAAATTAGGATCCATCTTGAAAACATCTTAAAAAAATAAATTAAAAGTGTTTATTTTCTATATTTACATTTGTTTGTGCCCCACTTCCCAACCCCCGCCCCCTGACTTACTAAGAACATCTTCTGGATTATAGTCATCCTCTAGAGGCAGCATATGGGTGAACTGATCATCTTCTTCCACTAAGTCAAGTCCTTCTAGGATAACAGGGTGGTCCTTGAATCCATCCTTCCGTACTGCAAACATCACTTCAATCATATACTGAACTCTTTTGTCAATTTCAGATTCATGGAGAATGTTTCGAAGGCGTTCAAATATAGCTAAAGTTAAACAGAAAGAGAAGACAATAAAATAAGCAGTAAATGTTACAATACTCAAATAAAAGCTCAATATCAAACCAAGGATATATACTTACCATTAATTCCTCTTGGTGACACTTGTGTTAATTTAAGGCCACATTCCTTAAGAAAACCAATAGCTACTTCAACACTATCATCTGTGGGTCTTTCCAAGAGCAAAGTGAGCATCTCTAAGCATAAAACTTCATGTGCCTTAAATAGAATGAAGACATATAGAAAATGCTTTTACATATATTAACCTACTACTAATAGTAATTTAAAAAATTAGCAAATCTGGTTTCTGCAGTGATAATATTGTACATATGATGAGCAAAGTTTTATAATATACATAGAAATACTCCAAATATGGGATAAAATTTTTCTTTCACTTTCATTACACATCTGTTAAGAAATTCCTGATGATTTTTCCAAAAATCTTAATTTACTACACTGAATACAATTATTTGACTTATCACCAGAAGAAATATTCTTCTTACACTTATACATAGGAAATATATCCTCTACAGGAAGTGTCATAAATTAACCTCAAAACACGTTAAAAAATCATGTACTAATTTTTAATCTGAGATATGTTCATAATCACTATACGAAGAATGGTAATACAGTTCTTTTATTTTTTTCTTTTGCTAAGGAAGATTAGTCCTGAGCTAACATCCACGGCCAATCTTCCTTTTTGTATGTGAGCCCCCACCACAGCACGGCTACTGACAGATGAGTGGCATAGGTCCACGCCCAGGAACTGAACACAGTTCTCTGAAGCAGAGCATGCCAAACTTAACCACTAGGCCACCGGGGCTGGCCCAATATGATTCTTTTTATAACATCCTTCTCCACGACCACAACTCTTTATATCCATTTCCCAATTTATTCTATCAGCAACTTGGTTAGATAACAAATAATTCTTAAGTTACATGAATACTAACTTTATCAGAAAATATCTTTCTGGTAGTTTCTGGTATACAATGACTGTTTTTAATACTCCCTCTATTTTTTTTTTTTAATTAAATCAAACTCTTTATACTGGCTATAGTCAAAATTTAATATTTATAAACAATGCCAGGTAGAGTGGGAATAAAATTCTACTGAGAAACTTTGCTGTAAAAGAAAATGAACTTTGGAAGCATATTCAAAACACCATACATATGACTTTTTAGAGTCAGACTCTTATTTGAGATGGGGGAGAGGAAGTAAACCTCAACTCAAGAAAATGTCCTCTTCACATTGAGCACAACATCAAAAATACATACTGCTTTTATTTTGGGTGGTGGAGCGGAGGATGAACAGTCTTACATTAGTCACAAGATAACACTGCCCTGCACCACTGTTGGGAAGATGTAAAATATTTATCATTTTAACTGTTTCGTGGCAATGCCAAAAATACCTCCAATATAAGTGTAACATACATTCAAAAACTGAAATATCTGAGCTGTTATAGACATGTGAAATTCAGTTTCCATCATCTTAAGTAGCAAGTTATCATGTAATAAAATAATCAGGTTAAAATCTAAAAGGTTTATAAGAGTGAACACTGGAAAGAACTTCATGTAGGAAAGAATGAAAATATTACTTAATGTTAGAGAAATAAGATTAAGTGTGACTTAAAATTCTTCCTCTTCTGTATAGATGCAGTTAAAAATGATATATATTTGAAGGAAACCTTTGAGCACGAAAAAGAGCAATTTTATTATTTTCAAGTTTAAATAGAAGCTAAATCAAAACTCTCCAATAGTAGATGAATACAAAATAAACACAACTACTAAACAATAAAATGATAAAATTATTTGAATTTAAAATAGATTAAAGTTACTTAATCTACTACATTTTATAAACTGATTCTATGAATATATGACTATATATACTATGTAGTTACAGGGAATAGAATTTTTTATAGAATATCAGATATTATTAAGTTCTCACGAACACCAGGTACAGGGGAAAGTAATGGAAGAGATACCAACCTCATTTTTTTATATGATTAAATTACATTCATTGAAGGAATGATTTGCAGTTAAGTAACCATGTATAGTATTAAGAGTTAGATCAATGTGATAAAACACTTGTTCTGGGTTCCTCTTTATATCAAAGAGTATTAAATGCATTTATTATAGTTTTAACACTAACACATCATCCAATATACTTTTCTGAAGGACTATAAATCAAAACAAAAATAGCGAAGTGTCAGTGAAGTGACATCAAGTCTGTAGTCTAATGCCACTGAATGGCACAAAGTTTTGAAGATAATTACTTACCACATTTTGGTTAATAAGATGTGCTACAAATTTTGAAGCAGTCAGACAAAGTGGCTGAAAAGTGAAGGCAGAGACAAAGTTAATCTATAAACTAAAACCAGTTTTCATTTATCTCTAGAATCTACAGCTTACACACTATTTAAAATATGTAACATACAAGGATATTTCTTATAAGAAAGTTATAAGATAAAAACTAATATTTATGGCTAAATAGTTATAATTCAAGAGTTATAGCCATCACTTTTGCTGCTCATCATCAGAGGCCAGGGATATTTAATAAGAACACAAAAAGTTCTCATGAAATACACAGTTTTTAAGAATTCCTATGTAGAAATAAACATTGCTTACTATCGTTGATACTGGTTTATTAGTCTGTCCCTACGTGACAGTCTAGTTACAAGCCCAGAATATATACCTTATCATTTCTTCTATAGCCTTTTCGAAAATTAAGAATTAACCTCTTGAGGATTAATTCTCCAATTTGTGGAAATTTGGAGTTGATAATCGCCACTAATGCTGCATAAACATGGGTGAAGATTGGAGAAGCACTCTGTGCTTGCAAAACAGATCTGGACAGCAGGCCTCTGTTCAAAAAAAAAAGTCAACAATAATCACCAATTTAATTAGAAGAAAAAAAATACTCATTTGAAATCCAGCAACACTACTCCTCCGTAAATATCACAAAAACTAAATCAGGACTAAATTTCCACCACTTTATCTAGGGGAAGAGTTTGTCTCACTAGTAAATAAAAACTGCTTTTGAGAAAACAAAACTTCAATTGGCGCTTTTCTAAAATAGACAGATTTTACTAAAATTTTTCTTCAAAATTTTTTCTCTAAATATAATTTCTCTTTTCCTGCTCCTGTATGTTACATCTAATCATGAATTTGAGGTTTTTAAACTTCTTATATTAATATTTTCAAAAAAGTGAAGGGAAAAAAGACCTGCTTCAAAAGTACTAAACTTGGACTTAATGTAAAATTTCTAGTATGGGTCCATCTGTTATATAAAATTAATACTGATTAAAGACAAATTTGGGTGGGTTCCATTTTTAAGCCTATTTTTACTGAAATAAAAATGAAGATGTGGGAAACTCCTCATAACAGATAAAGACATAATCAAAGTGCTACAAGAAAAATGCTGAAACAATAGGAAAATAAAAGCTTCTACTTCTAACTCATTTTGAAATGGGCATGTTTCCACATGCATTTGATAAGGGGAGAGATACAAAGTGGGCTAATTGAAGAGTTACTTTTAGCAATGTAATCACAAATAATTATTGGATTGCCGAAAGGCAGGAAAACAATGTCTTAAGAGTCATCAGGTTTAGGTATGACAATTGAATCACTACAGTAAAAATGAGAAAAGAGAACACAGATTACAAACTGCAAGATCTTAAGCAACCCATACAACTTCTGAGTCTGCTTCTTTCTGAGTAAAATGGAAGAGCTCTCCCTACCTTTGAGGATAGCAGCTGCCTCTCGGTCAACTTTCTAAACCCCCACAACACGCTACAGCTTGCTTTATAGCTCCAATTGTTTTTTTTTTTTTTCCTTCTTTGGTGAGGAAGATTAGCCCTGAGCTAACATCTGTTGCCAATCCTCCTCTTTTTGCTGATGAAGATTAGCCCTGGGCTAACAACCGTGCCCATCTTCCTCTACTTTATATATGGGATGCCACTATATAGTGGTGCGTAGGTCCGCGCTCGGGATCCAAATCTGCATACCCTGGGCTGCCGAAGTGGAGTGTGCGAACCAAACCATTACACCACTGGGCTGGCCCCTCCAATGGTTTTGAGATGATGAATCAAGGTCATGTGAAATGACACAGGAAAACAGCCATCAGATTTTAAAATAATAAATAGAATATAGGATATTTCTAATTTCTGACCCTTTAAAATATCACAACTACTTAAAACCACACAGAAAATGGCTAAGTCATTCCCTTCTGCTTTTCTAAAATTTATTGCTGATCTTTCTCATTTCTTTCACATTCTCACTATGCTTTCCTTAGAAATTAAACTGGTTTGAGGTAGCTCTTTCATATATATAAATACAATATTCATTATTCCTCATGAGTTTAAATTATTGGAAGCATTCAGTAACAAACGTCTGTGCAAAAATCATTACGTGATATCAAAACTTCCCAAAAAGCAAAAACGCCACACAACCCCTAACAGTGAAGTATAAGTTATTTGTTAGTAGCTTACATTTTTACAAGAACTGCATTTTAAATAAATATTCTCAATTATCTTTGCAATAAAGTACCACAATGATTACCGTTCACGTAAATATTATGTCCCTTTGAAAAACCGCTATGAAATACTACAAATAAAATAGCTGATGCTTACCTTCCTCTAACTATATTTTCTTGAAGAAGTTCTTGAATAATAATACCTATATTAGAAATGTTGACTTTGTTGATAAGACCATTGATTGACTTCTTTAGGGCCTCCCAGCTCATCCTCTGGTATGCTAAGCTAAAAACAATTGATTTTAATAAAGATGAAAACTTAGTCAACAATCACTATAACAAGAGGTTATAATAACATAAAAAATAGCGTTCCTTTATTTTTAACATTGTTTTCACAAAATGACCCCAAAGTGTAGTAAAATATGACTATATGAATACACAGATTATATCCTTACCCATATTTGATGTTGTGTACATATGATGCTCATCTACAGACCACTTCTCTTTAATAACATAATAAGATCATGTAAGAATATGTAAGGATAATGTTTTGTTCTTATGTCCACGTACATTGTAATTTACAACATTTGTTAGTCAGATTTAACACACGTTTATTTTACATTATAACACTTCATTTACTTAAACTAGCCTTTAAGGGGAATATTTTTAAATAAAAGCAATTATTTTTTATTTTAAATTACAGTATGAAATACCCAAATATAAGCCATAAAAAGGAAATTTTTATGTCCCTTCTCCTAAAAGCGTGATAGAGAAAACAAAATTAAATGTTTTAAACTATCAAGAAATGGTAATAATTCCAAGAAAAGGGAAAGTCATATGAAACTATGGGGTTGAAAGACTGTTCTAAGTATTTTAAAGAACACTTCTGCGTTTAGGCAGTAGTCCTACAGCTGAATGCTAAATGGCTATACTGTTCTTTAACTTACATCTTAGGTACATTATTTAGCCTAACTGGGTTTCTTTAGGTTGAACTTGACAATATCTAAGATATTTTAAAGCTCTAAAATTCTATGATTTTTATAATTATTTCTCTGTGGAATATGATTTAAGCTGCAGGAAGTCTTAGCTTGTTTTTCTTCCTTACACCTCTCTGGCAGTCTAGCGAAGCTGATGGACTTTTTGGAATAACATACACAAATACACAGGATTACAAAGGATATCTACCATATTGAAATACAGTTTTCAAAGCATGAAAAGAACAAAAGTTTCACATAGTATTTTATGTGCTTCTTGATATATTAAATAACAAGAAGTGGTGATAGATCTAACAACTAATTTCCAAGTAGCAAGGCTAAAAACAGAATTTTGAGATATTTGCAAGAAATAATCTGTTAATACTGTTGTCTATTGTCTACATTCCCAGTAGAAACACACGCTAAATTGTAGTTAGAGATTGGTAACTAATAAAGATGCTATTTTTTTTTCCCATTCACGTTCAGGGACTGCCTGAATTCTATTCATGGACCTCTTAAAGGTCTGTTGGTTAAGAACCCCTACTCTAGAGCTGTATACCAAAGAGAGGCGATGAGACTAGTCTGTTCCGGTGGGGAGGGGTATTTTATCACACATTGTCCTCAGCAGACACTAAGGATAAAAGCAGACTGACTTCTATAGTTCATTGTATTACTGTTTCTAAATTCTCTATATATCATGTGCTACCTTACTGCCTGCACCCGAGGTGGACCACTCTCACTGTTGCCCAACCCTTTGGTAGGTCACTATCTCTAGAGATATGAGATACATGGCTTAACAAACGTCTAATCAATAAGATATTGCTGATACATAATCACAACCTCTCCTATTAAACTTTAGTCAAAAGCCTATAACAAGTACAAGTGTACTTCCTAACTAGGAAGCCTACAATTCACCTGATTAAGTATCTACTCAGGGCAGACTACAGACTTCTTTTAGAGACTTCTACTTCTCCTTGCCCCTTTTACATCCTGTGAACAGACTTCAACTGTAGATAAAATTGTCTTCCAGGAATCTGATTAAAATTCCACATACTGTTGACTCTCCTCTGCCCACTTTATTTAAAATAAACGAAATGAGACTTGGCTTAACAACAATGTTTCTGGTCTTTTACAATTAGGATTGCTTTGGACTAGACTGGAGAAAGTGAATAACTCTCACTAAGGCCACCAGTGCCTTCTACGGGAGCAGAATGCCCACATGATCATGAAGCTCCCACTAACCACAGAAGCCACTGCCAAATCCCTTCTCAACACAACACACCAGACATTACAACCAAGTGCTGGAATATGACACATAAAGAGAAACTTATTAGTTTTAAATTTAATGTCATCTAATGTCCCTTCTAGCTCATAATTTCTTTTAATTTTAAATCTTCATACTTTATATAGATGGCATTTTTACTTCAAGTTAATTCTTGAAACAAATTTAGATTTCATTTATATAAGGTTCTTAAGTACTTTCAAGTTGCTATTAAAATACCCATGAAAGACGTGGGAACACTCTTTCTTGGCTCACCATGAATCTGTTATTCTTAAAGTGTAGCTACCCTCTATTCCAATCTTTTTTACTAACTACCTGGCAACTGTAGTGACCAGTTCAATCTTGGAACATACTTTTCCTGGTTGTTATCTCATTCTACTAGAGAAAAAGGTCTTGAAAACTTAGCTGTATTTTTCTACATAGCTCTTTACGATCCCAATTATTTTGAAAAGAGAAGAAAAGGCATTTTGAGTGTAAATGTTCATAGGTGAATTTTGATTGTCTTAGTGTAGCAAAAAATTACAGTCTAAGAAGTTATGGTCTAAGAAATGGAGGGAAAAGAGAAAACTGTCAACTTAGTTTTATAGATTAGTACAGGGGTTGGCAAACTATACCCATGAGCCAAATGCAGCCCACAACCTGTTTTTATAAATAAAGTTTCACTGGAAATTTATAGCCACACTTGTTTATTTACATATTATCTTTGGCTGTATTTGTACTACAATAGCAGAGTTGAGTAGCTGCAATAGAGATAGCAGAATGCACAAAGCCTAAAATATTTACTATCTGGCCTTTTACAAAAAAAGTTTACCGATTCCTGGTTTGGTACAACTGAAAAGATCCATTTTAAGTCTAAAATATTAATAGTACTCTCGATTATCTATGGAAAATGGAAACTACTAAAGGCATGCAGGCAATTATGAAAGGAATAGTTTGAAAATAGTAATAAAAAGATCAGTTGCTCTTTCCTCAAACTTTTTAATTCATTCACGCAAAAAAATAAAGAAATTATGAGCTAATTCAGGGCAAATTTGTCAGGGCAAATAGTACGCAGAGCTCCAACAGAGTTTATGGAGTAAAGAAGGGAAGAAGTCTAATTTGAGGCCTCTATCATTGTGGACTAATGTAAATTCTCAACAGCCAAGGTTAATTAGACCACAGTGATTTTTTTCAATGAGGATATCACTGCCTTGTATATTAGTGATGTTGACATGCCTGTTTTTATCTGTAATCTGTTCTTGCATCATCCTGAGCTTTGCAGGAGGAATATACGCTCCACCAGTTCGTGTAAGGAGAGGATCCTGCTCATCTTTCTTCTTCTTTGCGGTAGGTTCATCCTGAGCAGAGGAACTCTGGGTTACCGATGGTTCTGGGCTTCTTCTCCTAGGAGATGGGGATTTCCGGGACCTTTTCCGATCCATATCTCTTTCTCTTTCCTTGCGTTTGTCATGGTCCCTACTTCTGCAATTTTTAAAAAAAAAAAAATGGAGAAAAGACAACATAAAATACATTTTTAAAATAAACTACGTTCCAAACGAGTGAGTCCCTACATGAGTCCCACAAATTCAGACAAGGAAAAGTGATTTGGAATGGAGAGGAAGTGCTTCACAGAGAAAAATGTAACTAAACAAGGTCTTCAAGGCTTGATAGGATTACAGTGGGGGCAAGGTGGGGTAGGGAGGATGGAGAAGGGAGGATGGCATTCTGCAGCTAGTAGAAGACAGAGTAACTACTGAAAAACTGAGCAAGGGTGTTCAGGCCAGAATGAGTAGGACAGTGAGGAAACAACAAAGAATCATGTATAATGGTAGTTGGAAAGAGGAGTTTGAGTCACACTCTAAAATCTTAAAAGGCAAGCAACAGACTTTAAGTTTTTTACACTGGAGGTAATGGGGGATCATTAATAGTTTCTGAGTGTGATAGTGACATGAAAGTAATGTTTTAAGAAGACAAATTGGCCTGTGATGTACATGATAAATTATATAAAGGAGAAACCAGAGTTTAGCTTCAATAATGGCAACTTAGGAGTAAGACTGTTATAAAAAAATGTAATCTTTGAAATTGTTTCTTGATGGAACCGATATTTTTATTAGAAATCACAGAATATCAGAAGCATCTGGTTATTTGAGACAATGTAAAAAAATCAACCATTTTTAGCCACAATAAGTCTTTCCTACTAATGTAGGTGAGTATCCTTTCTTAAGCTAACACTTTGAAAACAATCAGGCTATTGTTCTCTGACACTATCAAGAACTAAATGGAAAGAGTGAATCCTTGCTTTTTGCTAGCCTTCCCCAGAGAAGGGTTTGTTCGCTTACTGATTTTTACATATACTGCCTTAGAAACACAGATCATTCTACTCATGCTTTGTGCCACCATAAGTTATATATACAGTAAATAAAAACAAGTTTCATATTATCATTATATTAATGCAGGTGCCACATTACCAAGAAACCGCTGGATGGATTTTAGCTAAATCTAGAGGGTATATTTGAGACAGTCTATCTTAATATATTGTAATACAACCTTCATGCAGAGAAAAACGCAGTCAGTTTTGAAACTAAAGTATGAAGAGACTTGAGGGGCCAGGCCTGTGGTGTAGTGGTTAAATGCGCCTGCTCTGCTGCTGGCGGCCGGGGTTTCAGATCCCGGGCGCGCACCAACGCACCACTTGTCAGGCCATGCTGTGGCGGCGTCCCACATAAAGTGGAAGAAGAATGGGCACGGATGTAAGCTCAGGGCCAGTCTTCCTCAGCAAAAAGAGGAGGATTGGCATGGACGTTAGCTCAGGGCTGATCTTCCTCACACAAAAAAAATAAAAATAAAAAAATAAAGAGACTTGAGTGCCTTCCCATGACGATAGACAGTCTGTATATACTAAGAGCAAACAGAGGGGGAAAAATGTGGTTTCAAATAGAAACCCCAATTAGTCACAAAGGCAGGTGCTCCAAAATCTAGGCACTGATTTGCAACTGAGTTGCTTTTTATTGTGAATGTAACATGTTCCAAGAAAGGAACTACAACAGGGATTTACTGACACTGGTTATGATTCTTCTGAGGAACACCAGGTAAGACAGCTAGCTGGCTGATAAAATTGTGTCCTTACAATTAAAGCGTTTGTTCCTTTAGAGTGCAAAAGTAATAGAAGTAATAGAAGACTCCAATAGACTTCTTGGAGTCTAAATAGAATCATTTCCCTTCGAGTGCTTTTGTACTGTTAGCCTCTATATTCTACGTAACACACAGCCTGCTTACTTCACAGTGTGACCGTGTGATCAAATGAGACTTTATGTACATACACTGAACCAAACAGTTACAGTGAAGTAATACTGTCAGTGGTTATGAAAAAAACATGGGCTTTGGAGTCAGAATTGAGTTCAAACCCCAGTTTCATCATCCACCAGATAGCTAACTGCAACCTCAGTAAGTCAATGACTTCAAACCTCTTTCCTTATTTGTAAATTGGGAAAAATACCTAGTTAGTAAGAGTTTTGACAGTATTTGAGAAAGTATGAAGAATGCCTAGCTCACCAATTATGGTGGTAGTAGCTGTTCTTATTAAGGTGTTACTAACGTGACAGCAGATGAGCCTGGCTTTTGGACATGAATTTAATCTGACGTTTCAGGATTGGGTATATATTAGAAAGTAGGTAGTGAGCAGGAAATTTTGGCTGCAGATATCAAATAATGTGCTTAGCTCCAAACTGCAGAGGAATTTGATCAAAATTCTAGTGGGGGTTAATCTTGGTAGTCATGGAGTGGATAACACGAGAGAGATTAAAAAGAATATAGAACTTGGTCTATAATAAAACATGGCAGACAAGTTTTTGAAACTGGATGACTAATAAGGCAGGTAGTCAAGTGCTCCAAGACTCAAGTAAGAATAATTTATATTTAAATAAAAACTATAGATTGGTAACTTCATTCTTAATGTCCCTCTGCCATTATGCAGGAAAGTAAATTTAGATCACTCTATGTCATATAATAGAAATTACTTTCTTTCATTTGATAAGGCATCTCAAGAACTCACATAAGCCAACTCCTCACACAGTCCAGAATAATGAATAAGAGCTTGGGCTCTAGAATCAGACAGACTTAGACTTGCCACTGATAAGCTTCTAAAACACAAATGAGTCAACTTCCCTAAGCCTCAGTTTCTTCAGCTATAAAACAGACATAACAGTATCTACTTCATGTATTTATTGCCACGAGGAGTTAATTCACATGAAGCCCTTATTAGAAACCCTGGCACCTAAGAACATTCATTTAATTCTAGCTGTCATCATTATTGTTTTTATTATAAAGCACAAAGAAAATCTAAACAAATATAATTTTTCTACAGTTAACATTTGGAATACTAACCGTGACTCCATGCTACCGTCATAAGAACGCCCTCTTCTAGAATGCTCATAGTCTGACCTGCCGTAATCAAAGTAATCTCTGTCCCGAGGGGATCTTTCTTGGTCTGCATATCTAACACATAAATAAGAAAAGCAAAGTTATAAGCTGGAAACAACTACTCAGGACAGTCGCATACTGTTAACGGTAAAGCAGCTCTATGACTGAACAATGTCCTATGAAACCGGTCTGAACAGACAGCTCATTTTGTTGACTCCCATTGGTTCAGTGCTTATCAGAAAAGCTTTCGGCTTGTGCACAGCAACACAACTCCTGCAATTCACTGAACCAAACTGTTCATCTTGAGTCACACTGTCCTCAGTAACAGATATTATCTCCGGATGTCACTTACAGCTAGCACAAAAAAGGCTATCCTGCAAATGACTCCTTTTGCCTAGTTGGCTCATTTTATCAAAGCCCTGGACAAATGAGACCAATGGCATCGGGCGGCCTCTATAAAACCCAGTTTAACTCCACTCCAAAAAATTATATGCATTAGCTGTGATTCTTGAAACTGCATTACTGGATAGCAGTGATTATGGGTTGAAATTATTAGCAAACAAGGATGGACAGTATAAGATCTGCTATTTGACTCTTAAAAGCCAATAAAATCAGAGAACCTTAAGAGAAGTTAAATACCTACACAGATAATAAATATACATAGTAACAGTCCATACCTTATATACACATCTATGATTAATTTATACATACACATATCCATGTGTGTACCTGTGTGTGGAGATTTGTTTTTTTATATAGGGAGTAAGTGATTGATGAAAGGTAGTAAGTAGTTGCAGACCAAGGCAATTAACTTGATGTCCATAAAGCAAAAGTTTTTAGAGACAGGAGAGTAGAATAGGAAGAAAGCAAATGGGGGGTAAGAAGAGACTAGACAACTGAAAGAAAAGTTTAGAGGATGCCTCTCCCTTCATAAATTATTTTTAACGGTCATAGCTAAGTGAAATAACTGAAGTCCTACCATGAATGCATGATGAACATTAACCGGAACATTTCTAGATGTTTCATCTTAACACGATTATGCTAAGGTACAATATATACCTAAATATTCTGATAACTATAAAGGGTTATGAAGTGTAAAGGATAGCAGTAATAGCAAAGGCAGCACTTCAAAATAATGTGATTTCAATTCAGTTTTCCATTTTATAAACTTTGATTCTACTTAGTATTTGAGATATTAGAACTATGCCCTCTCACCTAAAAAATTACATAAAACCTAGATTTATTTACTAGAAACTCTAGAACAGTCACTCAAGGACAATTCATCCTCGAGCCCACTCAAGTCATATTGTTTATAAAAATCATCAAAAAGCTGTTCATCCTAAAATTAGGAACCTAAGAGCTAAACAATTTTTAAAACTTATTATAAAAAATTTAAATTGCATTTGGAACACATAAAACTACTTACCTGTCTTCTGGAGAAGAAGTCCTCTGATATGAATTATAGTTTTCCCTTCTGTCATGACCAGAAGAATGCTTTTAAAGGGAAAAAAAGAGGGGGAGGGGGCATTTAAAAATTATGTTAAAAAACATATGGACAATGAAATATGTATTTTGGAAATTTGGAAGAACTTTAGAAATTATTTTAAAACATTTTTTTTTTTAATCATAAGAATAAATGTTACCTAAACAGTATAACAGATAAAACAAAATTTTCAAGCCATCTGAGGTAAATGTCTATGGCAGATACCTGTTTTCACTATGAACCAAATACTTTTTTTAACCAAAAAGATTCAAGGTGGAAGAAAATAATTCTCAAATTTTCAATGCCACAATCGATATTTTATTCCTATGTAATAAGTTATATAGAACACCATTTTTATATAGGCCTTCTGGTAAAAAACAAGACCAAGGGCCAGAGGTTTTCTAGCAAAAGCTCACTTTTGTGTTATGCTCAAGTCTTACAATACTGCACGCACCTCCTTATCTCCTTTGGCTTATAAAAACCACAACTTTAGTCTCAGTTATTAAATCTAGATAAAATAAATAGCTAGAAGAAACTGAATGAAATATATTTATGAAAATTCATTTTTGATTTCAGCAAACATTATTTGAGTGTCTGATAAGTAGGGCACTAAATGAGGATCTAAGGATTTGAGAAACATGACTCGTAAGATATAGCTCCTATGCCAGATCCTTTGAAAAATAACAGACACACAAATACATAACTTCAATGTAATATGTGATTGAAGGGACATGTGACATGAGACAGAGATACGAACCATCCAGTTTGATAACTTAAAAATCTACATACAGTTAAGAAGCCAAAATATTTATCTGTATAAATAGGTCAATTTTTTCATACCACTGGTCAACATCATATTGACAAGCTTCTTTTTTTTTTAAGAAATAAAATAATTTTGGGCCAGCCCGGTGGCGCAAGCAGTTAAGTGCACACGCTCCGCTGCAGCGGACCGGGGTCCGCCAGTTCGGATCCCGGGTGCGCACCAACGCACCGCTTGTCGGGCCATGCTGTGGCGGCGTCCCATATAGGGTAGAGGAAGACAGGCATGGATGTTAGCCCAGGGCCAGTCTTCCTCAGCAAAAAAGAGGAGGATTGGCATATGTTAGCTCAGGGCTGATCTTCCTCACAAAAAAAAAAAGAAAGAAAGGAAAAATATTGTTTTTTTAAAGTATCTTAATCTTGAAATCTAAGGAAAAGTAAATCAACTAATAAGTAACTTGTTCTGCATACTTACACGCTTGCTTTCTTAATGGGAAAAAGATACATTTAAAAATAGAAAATTATACTGTACAGACATCTAAACAAGCTCCAATTTACTCTTATTTTACGACTATCTAATAAACAGCAGTTTGAGTCTAACATTCTCACAAGTAACTGCCAAACAGTCTCATTAACTACTGAAGTTTTTGAATAGTATACACAAACTAGACTAATCAATGTAGGTGAACAAGCATATGATCAAATTTATAATTTACAGTAGCCATAGTTTGGCTGTTATTTTACAATTAATGAAACCATCTTAAAATCCCATTTCTAATGTGTTTAAGAAAGTTTTAAAAAATTATTTCACTTAGCAACACAATGAAGTAGAATTATTCAATATCTATGACACAGGTTTCCATAAAACTTGACATCAAGATCCTAAGCCAAATATGGAGCACGAGATTCATTCAATTCATGATAACATCAAACCTAGTATATACTGATCACCTACTGTAAGACCTAGCCCTTCCTGTGTAGACACTCTGGAGGACACGAAAGATAGGACAAACCCTCTAGGAACTTATGATTTTGCAGGAGAGAGATGGTTATAAAGATTTCCACAATTAAACATATCAGATTATATGTTCCTGAGAGAGAGAGAGAAAAGAAGGAGAAGAGGAGGAGGAGAGAAGAGAGAGAGAACAATAAAACTGCATTGTCTACTTTTACTTTCACAAGCGCCACAGTTATTATGATTACATTAGAGAGAAGGCCTCAATTCTGTGCTAATGATTTTAACACATCTCTGTAACATCTGTTGTGATCAAGAGGGAGAAACCAAAAATACCGAAGTCGTGAATCAGGATTTCATAAATATGGTCAAGTTAACAAATGACTGGCACACATAGGAAGTGCTAACAGGAAATCTTGAGTCGGGAACAGTCACTGTGGTACAGAGTACTGAGGGATGACAGCGGGTAACAGGGCACTTAAATTGGGCTTGGTAGATGAATAAGATTTCACTAAGTGAAAAATCATTTTGAGGTGTGATCCAATTAATAATAACCTGAATTTCCCTATTTCCTTTATCATAGGGTTTTAGATTATAAATCAGAGCACTAGTTGAAAATAACAGATTATCAAAATTACCTTTAAAAATTCTCTAAATTATTAATTAAGCAAACAAATATGGTCACCGTGCAGTCACCTGTAGTCTCCAAGAATGTAGAGAGAGCAGTACGAGGAGGTGAGAGGAGCAGGGAGCCTGAGTCCAGAGGCTCTGGGCATCATTAGGCTCAGGGAACAAATGTTCAAGAGCAAGGGAGAGAAGCGGCTGAAGAGGTGGGGAGCTTGCTTCTAGCTAGCTAAGGAAGCTACAGTCAGGCTCAACGAGAAAACAAGGGATCCTCAACTGAAGCCTCCTGAACCCAACAGATGCGTCCTCAGAACATCAAGGGAAGTTCTGGGCTTCACCCGAGGTCAGAATGGGCCCAATCCAGCTAGCAGACCTGCTTGTGGCTAACAGGATGGAGAGAAGGAGGCGGACTAAACTGAGAACTGGCTGGGAGGGCCGAGCCACAAAGTGTGAAGGGCATGCTGACAGAAGACACCCACTCCTAGGCTGGGGCGATGTCACAGAGGCCCCATCAGGACCACAAGAGGGAAAGGTGGAGAAGCAGAGCCTAAGAGGAGCAGAAAGAGGATTCTCAGAAAGACGAAACACTTCTCCCTCTGTGTAAAAGGCTTCAGTCTAGATCTGAGTGCTCTTGTCCAACACGGCTCAGTCACGAGCCAGTGCCACACGAGCCAGTGCCACACAAGATGTCCTTTTCCTTTATGGCCCCAGCTCCTAACACAGTGGGCCAACTACTAGGCCCACAATTAATTAACTGTTTATGTGCCACTGGACCAATGAGCACACATCCCAAAGAGGCGACTGTAGAACAATATAGCAAGGTATCCATTGACAGATGGGGCTAGCTTCAGAGACAGCGAGCGGCCTGCCAAAGGAGACACGCAAGCACAGGCCGGATGTCTACCTAGCAGGGAGGCTGGAGAGTGTCTTCTCATATTCAGTAGAATTTAGAAAAGATGGCAGCAGAGCCTGCCTCAGTCTGCAAGTCTATCAACTCAGTTTCCTAAGCACTTACCTGCACCAGGCCTTGTACCCGGTGCCTGCTGTTAAGGAGCTCACAGTCTACTGGTTCTCCTTAAAGGAGATTTAGGGGTGCAGAGCTGGTGGAGGAAAGGAAGGGAGAAGTGCCTGGATTTATAATTAAATAAAAATACACCTTCCCCTTTACTGACTGTGAGACCCAGGAAGGCACGTGCCTGCTTGTACACCCATGCAGTTGAAAGAAAAGGAAGCAGAATGGTGTCCTCTCCTGCTAAGTCCACTCACAGGCAGAGGAGCAGTTTTGAAAGCAGATGGAGTTACTGGTTCCTGTTACTGCTCTGTCCTCATCTCCTATTATTCTCCCTTTCCCATAACCTGCTCCACCCACACTAGACTCTGTGCCTTTGCACTTGCTGTTCCCTCTGCCTAGCACACTCTTCCCCCAGACACCTGCATAGCTAACTTCCTCATATCCTTCAAGTCTCTGCTCAAATGGATACCTTTTCAGTGGGCCCTCTCTATTAAAAATTGCAACCCCCAATGCTACTGATGAACCTTACCTTATTTCTTTCCTCCATAGCACAAGTCTAGCACTTAACACTCTAACATACTATATAATTTACTTATACGTATTAAGTCTATGATTTATTTTCCGTCTTCCCCCACTAGAATGCAAACTCCATGAGAGCAATGATTTCTGTTTTGTTCACTGTTTTACCCAAAGTGCTTAGAACAGTCACTGGGACATAGTAAGAATTCAGTATTTGTTGAATAAATGAATGTATAATGACTAAAGTAAAGGACAGCACAGATTAAAGAGCTCATTTAAGCATATGAAACATGCAACAAAAGGCTCACTTGGAGACAGACATGCAAGAACGGTGCCCAACTGAGGAAGGAAATAGCTGTCTTCCATTTCATGCTCAGTCAGGAAAGCATGCTCTTTAAGAACGGTGGATTTCCTGCCCTGTTATTTATTTTTCTTTTGCATGTGCTCACTCACAGGCACTTTCTTGATTCATGTAGGCACTGAGGTGTATGTGTGTGTATCTGTACATGTGTGTAACACACACACCTGTATGTTCTCTCAACTGCCTTCTTGCACACTATTAACCCCATCTGACCAAGTATCTACATTTGAAATTGTGTAAGTTAGATGCGCATATATATATAATGCCACTCCACTGTCTGGTTCTAATGTCCTAATTATATAAATGCATTTTTGTTTAGGTAATTGATTACAAGTTTACGTTCTTTAAGTATCAAACACTTACTTTTACCTGTGCCACACTACTTTTCATCTTTTGTTGCCAGTTGATCCGATAAATCAAAGACTCTTTAAGCTGGTCCAACTAACAAGTACCAAATGGTATGAATTCCTTGACAGTTTACTTTTTCTGTCTGCAAGCGTCACCTATAAAATATACCAAAGAAAGCTTTGTTAACACTGATAAAATGTATGTGAAATAACAACATATTATTCACACACAATGAACATCTGACCACGTTATTTTTCTTAATCAATAGGCACAGATATAATCAATAATTAAATAAAAATTTTAAAAATCCTTAAATAGTTCCACATAATGTATAAAGAATACATATTAGGAGAAAAGACTGAACAAGAAAGCAAATAATAACAAGGTCTTATTAAGTACCATAAAGTACTTTATTCTAATGACTGAGAGCAACAAAAGTTAACTTAACTGATGTCAGATTACTTTATTCAAATTGTTCTCAGTGAGGGAGACCTACACCTACATCATAAAACAGTATTGTAACATTATAAAAAACAAGTGAACAGAGGAAGCCATTACATAAGAGAAACTCTATACAAACTGAGTATAAAATAGCCAATGTTTCTATATAAACTAAGAATGAAATAGCCAATGACCTTGTAATAATGATCACTCAGAAGTAAACATACTCCACATGGAAATACAAAGTGCTAAACTAAAATAATCAGGTCTTAATGTGATCTATTAAAGGCACAAGACTTCAGATATATGGACGTATGAGAAGTAAATATTTGGCTCAGAATAAACCTAGTCATCAACATTAAATGCTGAAATAAAATGTCTTTCAATATCCATCTGATAAGTAAATTTTAGGAATTTTTGAAAAATGCTGAATTGATAGTTCAGACGAAACTGCCATTCAAGTATTTTATTGGAATTACACACCTAATGGTTTACGGAAATGGCACATCTAAATGGTTTATGCTTTATGGTATGGTCTAAGGTAATAAAATTACAAAAATAAAATGAAATAGAAGAAAATAAAAGAAAAGAGGTAGAGAATATAGAGAAAGATCTGTGCTCAGTACCAAAATAATTGAATATGACTAGGAAAAAATTTTAATTTGAATGCCAGAAGGGATGTTACAGATTATCTGGTCCAATTCCCTCTTTTTAAAGATAAGAATACTGAAGGTCAGATAAGTCATTTCAATGTCTTAAGCTATAATACCAGTTCGTGGTGGACCTCTAACTGGAAACCTAGCGTAAGGACACCCAATTAAGTATTCTTCTCACTAGCCCACACACACAAATAATCTCAACACTATAAAGTGATGTAGAGCTGCTATCATTTAATGCAGATTGGGATGTACACAAATCATTAAGTCAAGAAAAGTTTCTATTACAATGGTTAGCAGGGTGTCAAGGTTAGTAAAAGCAATATACACAAGATTCTTTACAAATTTATCAATCTATAAAATATAATTGCAATCTAAAGCACCCACCACTTATGTATTAGCAGCTGCAGCTAAAGAGACTGACGTCTCTGGGGGACTCCCAGAGGGGAGACAGCCAGAGAAGGGGAGCCCCACGTGCTAGATATAAACTCTCCCAGATCTCTGACTACCCCTGAAACAACACATGTACTCGAGTCCTGCTAAGGATTAAAGAACTGAACTGGGATGTGAACAGCTGCCCAAGAGACAGAATTTGCCATTTAAGTCTAATCAAGTTAACTGCCTAAAAAGTCACCACTCCTCAGAGGAATGTAACAGAATCCACAGTCTTAACATAATGGTAACAATGTTCAGGATACAATTAAAAATAGCTCAACTTATCAGAAAACTAACCAGCCCAATCTTAAGAAAAAAGACAATCAAAGGAAACCAACACTGAGACGACCCAGATGTCAGAGTTAGCAGACAAGGTTTTAAAGCATATTCAAAAGTGCAAAGGAAAACATGCTTGCAAGGAATAAAAACACAGAACATTGCAGCAAAACAAAAACAAAACACACATACAAAACCCAAAAAACAAAAAGACAAAAAAGAATCAAATTCTAGAACTGAAAAATATATGAAGTGAAAAATTTACTGTATAGACTTAGCAAAATGGAGATAAAGCAAAGTAAATGAGCTTGAAAGATCACGAGAAACTATCCAATCTAAACAAAGAGACAAAAAATTTAACAAACAGTACCAAGGACATGTGGAAAAACATCAAAAGGCCTCATATATGTATAACTAAAGTCCAAGAAGCAAACAGACAAAGAATGGGATAGAAAAAATATTTCAAGAAATAACAGCCAAATTTTCCCGAAATTTGGTGAAAGATATAAACTTACAGATTCATGAGGCTCAGAAAATCCCAGGCAGAATAAATATAAAGAAAACCACGCTTACACACATAGTCATATATAGTAGTCAGTTATCAAACTGCTGAAAACCGAAGAGAAAGAGAAAATTCCGAGAGCAGCAAGAGAAAAAACCAATATATTTCAAACAGGAAAATAACAATTCAAATTACTGCTGACTTCTCATCAGAAACTAAGCAGACCAGAAACAGTGGAAAAATCTTTAAAGTGTTGAAAGATAAAACATTGTTAACCTAGAATTCCAGCAAAAATAATCTTAAGAATGAAGACAAAATAAAGATATTTACTGATTAAACACACAAACAAAAAACTAAGAAGATAAACTAAGAGAACATATCACCAGCAGACCTGCACTACAAGAAATGCTAAAGGAAGTTCCTCAGGCTGAAGGGAAATGATACCACAGGAAAATCTGGATTTTCAGAAAGGAATGAAGAACACTGAGAATGCTAACTTTCTCAGGAAACATAAAAGACTACTTTTTCTTTTATCTGAAATACATATGTTTGTTTAAAGCAAAAATTATATCTTAACGGGATATAGTGCATATAGATAGAGTCCATAGGATAAGTATGGCATACAGGATGAGGAACCAAAATGAACCTACATTAGGCAAGGTTTCTAAATTTTTTGTGAGGTCATACAATATCAACTCTAAAAAGCCTGTGAAAAGTTAAAGATATATATTGCATTCCCTAGACCAACGACTCAAAAAATAATGTAAAAAAATATAGCTAGAAAGTCTAGAGATAAATTAAAACGGAATTTAAAAAAATATTTAAATAATTTTAAAAGGCAGGAAAGAAGGAACAGGAACAAAAACCAGAGGGGACAAATAAAAAACAGACAAGAGGGCCGGCCCCGTGGCTTAGTGGTTGAGTGCGCGGGCTCTGCTGCTGGCGGCCCTGGTTCGGATCCCCGGCGCGCCCCGACACACCGCACTGCTTCTCCGGCCATGCTGAGGCCACGTCCCACACACAGCAACTAGAAGGATGTGCAACCATCACGTACAACTATCTACTGGGGCTTTGGGGAAAAAAAAAAAAAGAGTAGAATAAAATTAAAAAAAAAAAAAAAAACAAGATGGCAGATCTAAATCTAACTCTATAAATTACATCAAACATTACAGAACAAACACCTCTGATTAAAAACAGAAGCCACTCCCCCCTCACCTGAGGCGACACAACCCTGAAGGCGCAACCTTGTCTTGGGTGGATTTTGGGCCCCACTTTCCTCCTCAGCAAGATGACTCTGACATACACACAAATTACACAACTCGGTTTTCAAAAGTTCTGTTTTTACAGCTAAAAATGTATAGAGCCATAAAACTCAAAATTTTACTCAACTAACTTTTGCCCAAAGTCAATGGTATTTTTTTTTACCTGTACTATCATTACATCATTTCTAACATATCACCTTTATCACCCAGCATTGCCTATACGTACACTCATTCAGCAACAAACAACATTTACTGCACTTCTATTATTTTGCCAAGCATCTTTCTAGGCACTGGGTAGACAGCAGAGAACAACCCTATCAAAATCCCCTGCCCACGCAGAGCTTACACTCTAGTTATAAGAAGGAAATCTATAATGCTTAGCAAAGCACTAAGCCATTCACGCAAAGTGGCTGTTTGGGCTTTTAATGCACATGCCAGTTTCAGATCATTACTTAATAGTATAAAACTGGATCCCTAAGTCACTATGTTAAAAATAATTTGGGGGCCAGCCTGATGGCATTCGCAGGTTCGAATCCCGGGCACAAACTGATGCACCGCTCACTAAGCCATGCTGTGGCAGCATCCCACACATAAAATAGAGGAAGATGGGCATGGATATTAGCTCAGGGTCGATCTTCCTCAGCAAAAAGAGGAAAATTGGCAACAGATGTTAGCTCAGGGCTAGTCTTCCACATCAAAAAATAATAATAATAATAATTTGAATTATGAAAACTTGCATGATAGGAGAGTTACTTGTACATATACTGGGGCCCACCTCACTTACTACAGCAGAAGAGGTGGGGGGGGCAGGAAAGCGGAACGCCTAAGCATGCTGGGTTTATGAAAGCATCCCCAAGGTAATTCCAATATCCAACTCTTCCCTATGTCTCCTCAGCTTTCCAATTCTGGATGAGAAACCTTGGTTCTCAATTTGTCTTAAATCATAAGTCACTCAGGTAAAAGACAGAGACTCTACAGCCCACCTACTTAATAGTGAAGAACTTAGACATAAATCATTTGGAAAGGGACATATAAATTCCAAATGTGTTAATCCTTAATAGCTCACTGGTAAGAAGCACATACATGCATGTAAAAGAATATCAATATCAGTCTTTTTTAAATCTGAGAAATTCTGGGCACAATTTATAGGGAGAAACTTCTCACTTGTAATGCACTGACCACACAGCACAGGTTCTTTGGAGTTTAGGATATAGGCCATGATAATTACAGCAATACTACCTACTGCAATATGATCACAAACACAAATATAAGCACAGAAATGGAGTCATCCAGATGACAAAATACGTTCATAAAATGCTTTTATTATCCTTAAAATGAATATAAAACATGAAAAATTGAGAAAGGGAAAGAAGAGAAAAAACCTCCAACAACAGAGAAGTTCAGCCCTCCTAGGTAAACTAGATATAAATTTGATAATGATAAATGTTTCAATGATTACATACTTTTCAAGTTAAAAAAAAACTTTGATATACAAAGACTGAAATAACGTCTATAAAATATTTTTTGCCTGTAAGTTTAAATATGCTTATTAATTGGTGAGATCTGAAATATACTTTATGGAA